ACAATGGGGTGCAGAGCCTTCAGTCGCTCTGCCCCCAAACTCTGGAACGCACTACCACCTGACATTCGTAATATTGACTCTCTTTCCATATTTATCACCCAGCTCAAAACCCACCTATTCAGACTTGCCTATCCACCTTAAATCTTTTTATTTTTATTTTTTACTTTTTTACTTTTATTTTAAATTTTATCTGTAGTTTTATTATTTGCTCTTGGTTGTACAGTGTCCTTGAGTGCTATGAAAGGCGCTTGCAAATGTAATCTATTATTATTATTATTATTATGTTTCCGTGATACGATACGGAAATATAACAGTTTTCATTCTTATGCTGATTATACCAAATTTTATATGCCGTTAGAAATAACAAATCCGTGCTGTAATCTAGAGGTGTGCCTTGCTGAGATTAAACCAGGGGTGCCCCACCAGTCGACCGCGGTCGACTGATCTCAAATCGACGGCGAGGTGTGTTGGGAGAGGGAGTGGGGTTTAAATAACATGACATGACAGGAAGTCAGTGTTGCTATAGCAGTACATATATTTACTTAAAACTTTAATTGTAGAACCTTATACAGTAATTAACATTCATCAGCATTGTCTTGATGCAGCTGTGACAGTGTAGCCTCCATCACCCTCCAGCGAGCTGCTGGCCAGCTATCCCATGGCCCGCAGCCAATGTGTTTATGATTAGACAATTAAGGAGAAGCCCAATCGCGCGCTTTCTCTCTCTCTCTCTCTCTCTCTCTCTCTCTCTCTCTCTCTCTCTCTCTCGCGCGCGAGCGCGCGCACACACACACACACACACACACACACACACACACACACACACACACTAACGCGTAGTAAACACAACACTCAACTAGGCAACCACTTGATTCGACACTGATCAAAGAGTAACCCACGTGATAAGACAGAAGGGAAGGTGCTGGGCGGGGCTGAGAAGATGCACAGCCAATCGACATGGTCGTTTATCATGGGATAGATCCACTCGTGGTGTCATTGGTCGACGTCGGCGCTGGGAACCAATCAATTTACAGCCATGCACAAAACCTCTGAGTCATTCGGCATTTTTTCTGAATACAGTACTTTGGACAAAAAAAACGCGATGCACCAGGCCCCGATAATCAAAGCGCGAAATAGCGAGGGATCACTGTAGTGTTCTGGAAACTACTGGTGGCAGAGAAGTATCCCAATCTCAGAAGATGTGCTTTGAACCTGACAACTCTTTTTGGATCAACCTATTTGTGCGAGCCTGCTTTCTCGCACATGAACATCATCAAGTCCAATCCAAACAGAGATCTACCTGTCTCGTAGCTGTATTTTTTCGGTTTGGTTCATATTAACGTCAGTAATGGCTATTGCTCATCATGCAGATTACACTAGAACCCCAGGATTTTCTTACCCCTCCAGAACACCCAGAGGACCAACAACAAAACCAACAACTCAGCGATACATTTTTTGTCAACATTGTGCTGTAAATGCAGCAAGGTGAGGCACTTTCCCCACCTTGTTCAAATGGAATGTGGTGGTTTTTTTCACGTTAGCATGCAAACGGCCATTGCTGAGTTGTGTTGTTCACACCAGAGTTTTCCTCATTTGCAGATCAATGGTGAAACAAATCCAGTCAGTTGGCTGCGCTTTGGACATTCTATGTAGGAAAGCCAAATAGCTTGGCCCTGGGACTTTTGGTTTAGGACTGGTAGATCTCCGGAGGTTGGCTCCTTGAAAAGTAGCCCTTGGGAAAAAAAAGTTTGGGCACCCCTGGATTAAACAATGTATGTCTTGTAAGTTTTTTGCTTCTTAACCGCAATAAAACCAAGATGTTGATCAATGGTCCTCCTTGTCATCGCTAATCTGAGTTTGGATAAATGTACTATAACCCAGAATTAGTCTGTGAGTTTTCTACTTGTTGATAAAATATTATACAGCTCAGCACCGTCCAGTGTCACTGATGTAATTTTTCGCTGGTTTTTCAGTGATCCGAAGAGCAAAAAGGAAGTCCGCTGGTTCTAGAGGATTTTCTATTAAGGCTTCAGTGCTTCGGAATGCCCTACCCACAGAAATTAGAGCCACTACATCAGTAGAAATGTCTAAAACCCGACTTAAGACTTATTTGTATATGTCAGGGTTCCCCAACTGGAGATCGCAAATGACGGCGGCCTTAAAAGTACGTTCGAGACAACTGGATTAAAGTTATGGCTGAATATTCTGAGATCGCCACAGTAGCACTGTTGCTATTTCCGACATGCTACATGTGTGAGGAGGGGGTTTTCTGCAGCAACGGCAACTAAAACAAAATTACGAAGTAGACGGGACATAAAACACACACTTGAGGTGTCATTGTCTCCTATTACCCCGAGATGGGACCGTCTGGTTGCAGAAAATCAAGCTCGGTGCTGTGGTGAGTCGTCATTTTCATGCACTTTGAATTTGCGTTGTATCGTATTTTGAAGGCATTAAACATTACCATAGCGATCAGAGAGAGTGTTGCGGCCAGATTAGACGCTCCTTGTGTTTATTATTATATTTCGAAAACACCACAGTTTCCATGCAGCTCATACCATATTATTTTGTTGTATTATTTCCGCCACACCTTAAATGCTGGTCCCTGAAAATATTGTCTGACATAAACCGGTCGGTGGGGCAAAAAAGGTTGGGGACCCCTGGTATATGTTACATTTAGTTTGACTACATTTTTGTCACGTTTTGCATAATGGTAGTTGTTGGGAGGACCCCAAAAATCAGGGAGGAGCAGGGTGGATTAAGCAAAATTATTTAACAACAAAAAAATACACATAGGAGAACAATGGAAAAACAGTTTTAAGTTGAAGTACTCAAACAAATGCCTGGAAATCACAAGGAACCAAAGTAACAAACAAAACTATGACAGGAACCAAAACATGACAGGAGCACACGTTTACTCACATACTGATACTCACAACTCGCAATGACCCAACAAAGACTGACAGAACTCAGGGAACTAAATACAAGCAAAGTGATGAGACAACGAGAAACACCTGGACAAGACACAAAGGTTTGCGGGAGCTGATTGGTTCAACACAAGGGACACTGATGACGAGAACAGGTGGGGACAAAAAGTGCACATGAGGAAACAAAACAAAATGTAACTAGACAGAAACATAACAATTTTGGCCTGCTTGATTGCTGTTTCTTCTGTTTGTCCTTTCCTCACCTCCTCCGGCTTGGAGAGGGGGGTTAGGTGACGATGACCCAATTGGATGTTGCTGTATGGATTCTTCTCCGACTGATCTGGGCAAGATTTGCACAATTACTTATTCACATTATTCTAACATTGCGTATCACCATATTGTGTGAAATATTGCCCATTCTGCATCCATTATTTGATATTTAATTGATTTATTTATATATTAATACATAACATCGGGTTGGACTAGGTACGTTTTTTACTTCTTCCTCCTCCTTTGAACATGATGTATGATGACTGTTTTCTTTTCCTGTTTATTATTTTACTTCCCTTACTTTCTGTAAATGTATTACTGTATATGTTTTTATGTTCAATGAACAATAAACAAACAAACAACAGACATTACAGCCTGGACATCCTGGAAGGGGGATTTTCCCATCTGTGGTTTCTGAACCACAGATGGGGACCTTTCCATTCTAGAGGTTTCTCTTTTTTTCGCCTGATATTCTTTTTGTTGTTCTTGTTTTTCCTTGCCCTCCTAATAGGGGCTTAAGCTCAGGGGATTTAGTTAATATTTGTCAACTGCAGGTATGTGAAATCCTTTGAAACTTTTTTGGTGATTAAGGGCGATATAATTAAATTTGACTTGACTTGTATCAGTTCTGATATGTCTCGGGATCATTGCTTTTTCCGGGTGTTCTGCTGTTAGTTGTGAGGGATCATATTTGTGTTGCAAAATGTTACGGTAAAGAAAAACACACAATGGACATACAAATAAAAATGAACAGAAAATTATTCCATAAAATTCATGTTTTAATTATTTTACACACTAATAAAACTGACTTGGGTAAAAATGATATTGGCAGCCTTGAATTTAATATGAGGATGACCAATGTTTTGAGGCAATCAATGCGATCAAATAATTGCTGTAACTCACAATGTCACATTTCTCCAGAATGCCTTAATATTTGGGGCATATCCCTCCATTTGTTTTTATTCCATAAAATATTGAGAAATAATGTAGACATTTCAGATACAAATATTATCACATGGATAATTTATTTTAAGAAAGTGAAAAAAATGTAAACCAATATCAGAAGAGGTCCTTTATTTCTTTTCGTATTCAACCATCTCAAATGGATGGATGGATGGATATGCAGTGGATATAGTTTATATACCCATGCTAGGTGTCTGTTTGTTTATAAAAATGAGATCTCTCTAAATCATAGGTCTCAAACTCCAGTCCTCGAGGACTGCTTTCCTGCATGTTTCCATCTCTTCCTGCTGCAAACCCCTAATTCAAATGATCAGCTCAGCAGAAAGCTCTGCAGGAGCCTGATAACGGTCCTGATCCCTAGAATCAGGTGTGCTGGACCAGAGAGGGATGGAACATATGCAGGAAAGCAGCGCTTGAGGCCTGGAGTTTGAGATCCCTGTTATAAATCATTCCAAAACTTTTTCCATTGTGACCATTAAATCTGCAGTCTGTCTTAGGCCCACAGTCGGCTGGAATAGGCTCCATCTTGCCTCATGAACTGGTCTGAAAAGTTGCCTCAACCAATCATCTGTTGTCTCTGTCATCTTCGATATACAGGTCATTCAGTTGGTCAGTGCTGTCGACTTGGACCTTCCACCTATCACTCAAAGGTTTTTCTTCAAGACGCCTACGGATATTCACAACAGAAAGTTCACTGTTCGAGATTATGGAAGTAAGATGCAGAACAGCCTGTTCAACCTCATTGTGTGCAGTGATGACTTGCCTACTCGGTGATTCAAATATCCATCCATCCATTTTCAACATCGCTTATCCTGAACAGGGTCGCGTGGAGTTGCTGGAGCCTAAGCCAGCAGAAGGCAGACTACACCCTGAACTGGTTGCCACTCAGTCGCAAGGCACATACAGAGACAAACGAACATTCACACCCACATTCCGACCGCCACTGAGTGGGAACCAATCCCACGTTGTCCGCACACAAAAGTCTGGCATGTGTACCACTATCCCATCAGTGACAGTGATTCAAATATGAAGGCTAAATAGCTTTTTTTTTTCTGGACCCTCAGTGCTAAATGTAATATTAAAAAATAAAGTCCTACTTCTGTCAGGTAACTTATCAAAACTGAAGGTATCTAAGGCATTCCACGACAACTAATTGTATCACATTATACTTCTAACAAATGATCCAATTAGTGTAGTGTGCATATTATTGTGAATGAAATATTATTTAATACAGTGTTAATTTGCTGCAAACCTATTTGCATAATATGTGAAGAGCATGGCAAATACTGCATACAATTAACAGCAATGCCTCTTGGTGTGATCAGCTGATGGGAACTTGACAAAGAGACCAGGACAAGAGTGGCCAGAGCACTAAAGGCTCTGACACAATCAAGCAAGAGCAAGAAAAGCAACAGCAAGCACAAAAGTCCACCTTCCTCTATAGATGTGAAAGCTGGACACTCTCTGCAGCCTCAGAAAGGAAGATTGAGGGTTTTGCAATGAAATGCTACCGTCATTTAATGATGGTCTAGTATACAACACAGAGACCTACAAATCCATCAGAAGCCATTGGAAACCACAACCACCTTTTCAAATTGTGAAAGTGTGCAAAATTACCTGGTAAGGCCATGTAACAGAATTAGCACCAAGTTTTGCAGACACCATCCTTCAAGGATCTGTGGAAGGATAGCGAAGACAGGGACGCCCCAGAATGAATTGGAGGCAAAACAATAAAACATGGACAAAGAATGCCATTCTACCAACACCTGGACGCCGCCAAAGGCGAACAAAGCTGGAAGGACTTATTGTGCTGTATCTCATCTGCTAGACCCCTACGATCTTTTGTGTTATGGGAAAACTAGGCTAACTAGAAAAGACTAGATTGTGACATGGGCAGCACAGTCGACTCGTGCTGAGCAATTATGCGTCACATTTGCACTGACTTGGCTGGCGACCAAGGTGTACCTTGCCTCTCACCCAAAGTCAATTCTGATAAGAAAATGGATGGATTGGTTGTGACACAGGCACATTCCAATGTATATTTACAATACTTGTATCGTGACTAACAACCACTAATTTGTTTTTCAGACAACACAGCTGGCATAGTGACGCGACGCTCTGGTCTCCAGCGTGGGAAACATGACATACATGTTTTCCCTGTTGTGGTTGAAGATAGTGGTTACCCTGTTCGGAGCAGCACATCAACCCTCACTATCCGAGTATGCCTGTGTGGGACAGAAGGCTTGCTGCGAACATGTTCTACTAAAGTGATCTTCCGGCCCATTGGTCTCAGCACTGGAACTGCAATGGCTATTCTGCTGTGTGTAGTTCTGTTAATTGGTAAGATGTTCTTTTATCAATATCAGTATGTATTTTACCTTTATTGATGATGGATTTAATTTTATTCATGGTGAATCATAGGTGTTTGTGAACATCAGAATTGACAGGCCTGCCATTAGCACCCTGTTAGCTTGACAAATGAGCAACAGGTGTGCAACATATTCAGGTGCATACATAAGAGGTTTATTGCGGATGGTGAATGGGCATTCTCTTACATAGCACTTTTCTACCTAAGGCACTCAAAGCGTTTTAATGCCTTTTCCTCATTCACCTACTAATAGTGTTGCATCAGGAGCAACTGGGGGTTCAGTATCTTCCTTAAGGAAACTTCGGCATGGTCACAATGGCCGGGAATCTATCCCGCAAGCTCTGGGTAGAGAAATGACCACTCCACCACTGAGCCATGCCACCTCCTGCATGGGCATTGACGGTATTCAAAACATTCCAAAAGCACACTGCGCTTTTCTGGACTGAGATGTCCGTTGTTGTTCCCGGGATCTGTTGCAACCATTCATCCAGTTTGGGGGTCACTGCCCCGAGTGCGCCGCAGGATCTTTACTCAGTCATTCTCCACCACCTTTGGAGGTGTGTCCCATTTTGACCTTGGGTTTTCCAGTCCACACTCCGCACAGATGTTTCGGTAGACTACGCCAGGCACCTGGTTATGGCGTTTCATGTGAGCTTTCCCTGTCAGCATCTTGCAGTGATGTGTTGGATTGTCTCAGGTGCCTTGTTGCGCGATAACTTTTATCATGATCATTATTCTCATTCAGAGTTTGTTTTGTACAATTCACCGAAGGGACAGGCAAAGAATGGGAATCTGGAAGCCTGAGAGAAGCGTTTTAAAAAGGTACGCGTGAGCTACAATCGTTAACAGTCTGCAAAAGTGCGGCGCATGCCTCAGCGTCAGACTGTTGCTCATCATGGCATGCGTGTTTACGTGCGTGTGTGCATATGCGCACGTGCGCGGTAACGGGTCGATCCTGGTACGTTGGTGAATCGAAAAGTAGATCTTCGGTCAAAAAAGTTTGGGCACCCCTGGCTTCGGGGGTTCAGTCCTATGCAGAACAGCAGTGGGGAGAGTGCATCACC